TGGATATACATACATATTAAATTAAAACCAGGAGCTGTTGGTAAAATAGAAACCCTGTAGGAAAATTCCACTTAGTTTATTAAATCCATTAAAAAAGGAATTAGCAAGAATGGAAAAAGATGGTATTATAAAGAAAGTTAACCAACCAACAGAATTCGTGAATTCATTAGTGGTAGTAAGGAAAAAGGATGGAAATTTAAGAGTGTGTTTAGATCCTCAGCACCTTAACCAAAATATACTGAGAGAACATTATCACATACCAACCTTTGAAGAAATTTCATCTCAAATGACAAATGCAAAGGTCTTTAGTATTTTAGATGCAAACAAAGCATTTTGGCAAATTAAAACTGTCAGATTCAAGTTGTGAATTTAATTTACTACATTAACACTCCGTTTGGTAGATATTGTTTTTTTTAAGGTTGCCATATGGACTGAGTTCATCACCAGAAGTTTTCCACAGAAGTTTTTCTGAAATTTTTAGTGATTTAGAAGGAGTTCAAATATATATAGATGACTTATTAGTTTGGGGGGTAAAGATAAAAAAGAACATGATTCAAGATTAAAGAAGTTGTTGGACAGAGCCAGAGAAAAGAATGTTAAATTTAATTTAAATAAATGTAAATTTGGGCTGAATGAAGTGAAATATATGGGACATATATTTTCTAAAGATGGTTTAAAACCAGATGAAGACAAAATTAAGGCTATTCTAGATATAAAACCACCAAAAATGTGAAAGAATTAGAAACTTTCCTAGGAATGATTACATATGTTTCTAGATTTATACCTAATGTATCAGAATTGACATCATGTTTAAGAGATTTGTTGAAAAAAACAAATTATCTGGAACTGGAATGCAACACATGAAAAAGCATTTAGAAGACTAAAAGATGTCTTAAACCAGTTTACAGTATTATGATATAAAGATGCCAGTAGTTTTATTTGTAGATGCATCTCAAGAAGGACTAGGAGAAGTCTTACTGCAGAATAATTTACCAGTGGCATATGCATCTAAGGCATTAACAGATACACAGAAGAATTATGCTCAAATTGAAAAGGAAACTTTAGCTATTGTATTTGCGTGTGTGAGAAATTTCACCAGTATATATTTGGAAAAAATATTACTGTGGAAAGTGATCATAAACCACTGGAATCAATTTTTAAAAAGCCATTAAATAAATGCCCTGTAAGACTACAAAGAATGCGTATAAGATTACAGCCATATCAGTTTGAGATAAAATATAAACCAGGAAAAGAACTTTTTTATAGCGGATGCATTATCAAGATCATTCACTGATAAAGGATCTGATTTCTTTGAAGGAGAAATAGAAATAGAAGCTCATGTTGGATTAGTTGTAGATGTTTGTAGAATGTATACCAATGTCTAATGGTAAAATGGAAGTTTTCAACTGGAAACAGAAAAAGATGAAGAAGAACTACAAGTTTTAAGAAAATTAATTAAAACTGGATGGCCAGATGAAAAATGTATGGTTCCAGAACTGGCAAAACCATATTTTAACTTCAGAGAAGAACTATCAGAAGCAAATGGATTAATATTTAAAAATTCCTGTGTTGTTGTACCAAGAAGTTTACGAAAAGATATGTTAAACAGAATTCATTATGGTCATTTAGGAGTAGTAAAATGCAAGATCAAAGCAAGAGAAATATTATATTGGCCAGGAATGTCCAAAGAAATTGAAGATTTGGTTTGGTACTGAATTGTCAAACATGTTTAAGTTTACAAAAAGCTAATACTAAAGAACCAATGATATCTAAAGAAAATACCTAATGGTCCATGGGAAGTATTGGGAACAGACCTCTTTTACTTTCAAGGAAGGGATTATCTAATAGTTATAGATTATTTTAGCAAATATGTTGAAATTGGACATTTGGAAGATTTGTCAAGTGTAGCAGTGATAAAGCAATTGAAATCAATTTTTGCAAGACATGGTATTCCGAAAATAGTATATTCGGATAATGGTCCACAATATAATTGCAGGAAATATAAAGATTTTGCAAGAAGATGGAATTTTGAAACCAGAACTTCAAGTCCAAAATACCCACAGTCTAATGGAATGGTTGAAAGACATATTCAAACTGTCAAGCGAATGTTAGAAAAAGCTGTAGTTGACAACAAGGATCCATATTTAGTTTTACTGGAATATCGTAACTCTCCTATTTCAGATGAAATTAAGTCACCTTCAGAATTGATGTTTGGAAGAAAAGTAAATGGATTGATGCCTATAAAAGAGAATTTCGTCCAAGCTAAACGATATGAAGACCATAAACAACATTTACTGAAGAGACAAATCCTTACAAAAAAAGTTATTATGATAGGAATGCAAGACCATTAAAACCACTGAAAACAGGAGATCATGTTTACATAAAAGAGAAAGGGAAAAAAACTAAATGAAAGAGGGAAAATTATAGAAGAAGCAGAAAAGACCACGTTCATATAGGATTATAAGAACAGATGGAAGAATTGTAGAAAGGAACAGAAGAGACCTTCTTAAAGGAACTAATCAGGAAGAGTTTGCAATACAAAACAAACTATGAGAATGAAGTTATAGATGAAACCGAGATACATGAAAATAGTAGGAGCACTTCAAATTTAGATGTGCCTGTAAGTCCTTCAAAATCTAACAGAAGTGTTGTGTCACCAAATAGCAAAGAGGTATAGTATCATCAAATTTTTCAAATGGACATAACTACGTCACTCGATCTGGTAGGACTGTTAAGAACCCTTATTATTTAAAAGAATATGTTTAATTTTACTACTATTATTATTTTTTATAAAAAAGGGAGATGTTATATATGTAACTGTAACTGTATCTATTATTATCTTAACCATAACTGTAATATAGAATAGTTGATGAGTAATGTAGAATAAACAATGTTTGTGTTAACTTGTAATCATCACTGAGCAGTACCCAACACATATAAAATACAACACAATGCATAATTTCTGTTAGAAAAACAGTTTCTCCGAGATTACGTTTTAGAATATTTAAAACTCGAAAGGATAAATTAATGGTGATATTATTACTGGATACCAAAATTCGCAGTAATTAACAATGCTGTTTCGATCATTACTATGAAGAAAAAAGCGGGATGAAAAGAAAGAATCCTGATGCACAGGAACATTACAAAATTTGTGTGTTTACGTATAAAAGTATATAATGTTCTTATATAGGTCATTTAAGCATAGTCTCTGAATCAGTAACATTTTCAGAAGTATTTCAGTTTTCATAATGGAAAGTAAAAACAAATCTGCATTTGTATAGAATATACATTGGCAGTTAGTTGCCTTCAGAAAAGGTTTCAATGTTTTGATTGTTAATATTTATTGAACCAAACTGATGAATTCACGCTCCGACATTTCAAAAGCATTACGACTGTCTCTTAAATGCCAAGGAATTCGATCAGCATTTCTCCGATTTCTTAAACGTCTGAGCAAAATCACTTCAGCCATCTTGTTTACAGTCGCTGTTAAGAGTTTGCGGCAGGTCAGGAGTAGCCGCAAAATTCCTCTATGGTAGTGACGTATTTTCAGTAGGCGTGTCCGAAAAGCGTTGCACAATCCATAGTTATTTTCGAATCCTTTAAAACACGACATCTACGTATTTGGCGCCAGTGTTCAGTTTGGCGTGAAAATCACAACACTCCAACCAGTCAATCACGACAAAGTATACTTTCCCGTACAAATCTCGCGTTTGCTGTACATAATTGTGCAAACTGGCAAACTCCGAGATGCTAGTGTGTTTTGTTACTATAACTCAGAGAAATCTCGTAGCGTGAGTATCGAACTTATCTTTACGTGAACGAAGCGAGGATGGAGTTTTTATTTTTCTATCTGTCTGTCTGACATATGAAGAAATAAATAAGCTGTATATGCTGCAAACTAAAATGAAATGTTTTAATCCTAGTATCCGGTGCACACGGGATTTGGCTACTTCTGGCGACTTTTATGATAAGCAGTAAAAACGAAACATATACGACAAGTAGAAACGGGTATTCAAAGAATATATATAGTTATACATAGTACATACTGTGTATATAGTAATAGTATATAGTGTACTTTAAGTATATATATAGACGTTCTTTGGGTCTATATATATATACTTAAAGTACACTGAAATTGTATATATGTAAAATTTTTTAGTATATATATAGACGTTCTTTGGGTCATTTTTGGGTGTTGGCGATACTTTTCAAAATCGCGCCAAGGCTGCACCGTATACTAGGATTTTACCAATGAAAGTTTTGTTTCTCTATAATCATCCACTTTGCAATGCAAAGAAATGTGATCATTATTTAGCATGTATAAGCAAGTGTTAAGCACTAGCTAAAAATTCTATAAGAGTCAAAACTTTATGTAATAATAATAATAATGAAGCATATATGATGAATTGCATATATTAACACCAAATTATGTAAATATGCTTGAACGAGAAATGAAATTTCTCCCTAATGTAACAAATTGAATTGAAGTGTCCCTGGAAATAAAGCCAATCTTATGCAATACATTAGATAAATCTGGTGAACAATATGTAATAATATTTAATCCAGATAACCTCACATGTATGAACTAAGTATGAAGACATTTAGTGTAAAGGATAATTGAAACAAGCATATGCTTATTCACTCAGGAGAGAAATCTAGTTTATGTGAAGTATTTAAGAAATCATTTAATCAAAAAACTCATTTTAACATGGATATGTGTATTCACACAGCAGAGAAACTTTATATATGTGAAGTATGCCAGAAATCATTTAATCGAAAACATAATTTAAACGTGCATATGCGCATTCACTCAGGGGAGAAACCTTATATGTGTGAAGTATGTAAAAAGACGTTTAGTGAAAAGGGTAGTTTAAAGAAGCACATGCTTATTCATACAGGAGAGAAACCTTATATGTGTGAAGTATGTAAGAAGACATTTAGAGAAAAGGGTAATTTAAACCAGCATATGCGTATTCACACTGGAGAAAAACATTATATATGTGAAGTATGTAAGAAGACATTTAATGTAAAAAGTAATTTAAATAAGCATCTGCTTATTCACACAGGAGAGAAACCTTATGTGTGTGAAGTATGTAACAAGACGTTTAATGGAAAGAGTAAATTAAATAGGCATATGCGTATTCACACTGGAGAAAAACATTATATATGTGAAGTATGTAAGAAGGCATTTAATTTAAAGAGTAATTTAAATAAGCATCTGCTTATTCACACAGGAGAGAAACCTCACATGTGTGAAGTATGTAAGAAGGCATTTATTGCAAAGGATAGGTTAAACAAGCATATGCTTATTCACAGAGGAGGAAAACCTCACATGTGTGAAGTATGTGAGAAGACATTTGGTTTAAAGGGTAATTTAAATGTGCATATGCGTATTCACACAGGAGAGACACCTTATGTGTGTGAAGTATGTAAGAAATCATTTAAAAGTAAATCCGCTTTAAACGCGCATATGCATCTACGCAAAAGAAAAAAAAAAATTTGTATATGTGAAGTATGTAAAAAATCATTTAATCAAAAAATTCATTTAAACAGGCATATGCATATTCACACAGGAGAGAAACCTTATATGTGTGATATATGTAAGAAGCTATTTAGTCAAAAGCATAGTTTAAACAGTCATATGCTCATTCACACAGGAGAGAAACCGGCTTACATGTGTGAAGTATGTAAGAAATCGTTTAGTGAAAAGCGTAGTTTAAACAGTCATATTCTTATTCACACAGGAGAGAAACCGTATATGTGTGAAGTATGTAAGAAGAAGTTTAGTCAAAAGGGTAATTTAAACCAGCATATGCGTATTCACACAGGTGAGAAACCTTATAAGTGTGAAGTATGTAAGAAGACTTTTAGTCAAAAGAAAAGTTTAAAAAAGCACTTGTTAGTCCACACTGGTCAGAAACCTTATATATGTGAAGTATGTAACAAGATGTTTAGTGAAAAGTGTAATTTAACCAATCATATGCGTATTCACACAGGAAAGAAACCTTATATATGTGAAGTATGTAAGAAATCATTTAAGCAAAAAGGTCAGTTAGATATGCATATGCGTATTCACACAATATAGAAACCTTATATGTGTGAAGTATCTAAGAAGATGTTTAGTGAAAAGGGTAGTTTGAACAAGCATATGCTTTTCGACGTAGGAGAGAAGCCTTATACAGTCAAAAGTCTTTAATCAAGACTTCTGCGATTCCGGATTATCGGTTTTTCCAGATTATAGATCATCAGTTTAAATCTGGTAAGATGGCATGCAGAAATTATAAAATTAAAAATATGAAACCGTAATTTATGAAATAAAGAGCAATTATGATCTAAAAAGTATCAAAATTTACAAAAAAAAGCTCAATATTTATTTGTTTACTTTATTAAACATTTCTTTCAACGTGCGCATGCGTAAAGCATACATTACTCATAGTCGAAATTAGAAAATTGTAACCAGAAAACTATTTGATGTGTATTCGTGATATTTATAATGACGAGGAATTTGATTTAAATTATATTCAAGACGGAGTACATCGAGATGAAATACTACATTTAGTAAGGAATTATAAGCTGAATAAAATAAAAACATCTGTTCTGAAGATAAGTATAATGCTGACAGATCAACTTCCGGTTCATTGCGCGCTGCGACGTCCCGCCCCCACCATAGAGCAGCATGAAATTGATAAACAGATTTTGGAATGGTTAGAGAAACAAAGGATATGCCTTTATCCATTTTTTGCAGCAATTCCACTTTTTGTTTGATGGACATCGAAACATGCTTTCGCTTTGTAGATCCTTTGGCAGCTCCAGAATCAGAAATTCTTTTTGACATAATCGAAAGTTCAAGCTTACTTTTATTAAAATTGCTCTAACAGTCTGCAAAAAAAATAATAAGCCCCGGATCCAATTCGAAAGATTAAGGAACAACGCAATCTGAAACATTAACTGAAATCGATAATTAGATAATTTTAGCTTAGCTTATACCGTCCGTTATACATTAACCGCGCATGTGTAAACGCATTATGCTTTTACGCATGTGAAAAAGTTTGTAGCTTTGAGGTCTGGATTATAGATTATTCCGGATTATGGACGTCCGGATTAAAGACTTTTGACTGTATGTGTGAAATCCACCTAATCAAAAAAGTCATTTAAACATTCATAATACACATTGAATGTTTCATATTCGTATTCACACTTTAGAGAAAATCTTTGTGTGTGTTACATAAATAATCATTCATTTTCATAAAGAGGATTTAAATATGGATGGAAACATAGGAGAGAACTGTTATGAGTTACTTATGTAACAATCCATTTAGAGTGATGAAGAAAATGTATGGTTGATCTACACAGAAAAGAAGTCTCCAGTATTTTCAGCATATGTTAGAAACAACTTTTACTTACTTTTGGAGTAAGTACTTCTCTGTGCAGCTAGAAAATGTCATTTGAGGCCATGTCTGTATTTTCTAACCAGCTGACAGAGCCAATAATTTAGATATAGCAAATTTCTTAGAACCTTGTCTGTGCAGCTAGAAAATGTCGAGGTCATTTCTGTATTTTTCTCACCAGCTGGCAGAATAATTTGTATACAGCAAATTTCTTAGAATTTAGAAAGGCAAGTCTGAATAGCATAAACCCTACTTGTTACTCTGTGGAAGGAACATAGATTCTCATTTGATGAAAATAAATTATAAACCATTTATTTGTTTCTAAAAGATGAAATCTTTTTCAAGATATTTTTACATGATAATAAGTGTTTATAACTGCTGCATAATAAATTCTGGATAAGAACTTCAAAAACTGAAATTCTAAAAGGTGCCTAAATGTTTCATGCAATACATATGCTGTAAATCATATGTATTTTGCATTAAACTTAACTGTTTCTGAATTTCACACACAAATTACAGCTGTCACGATACAGATAGCAATACCATTCTTGGTGCTTGTCAAGAAAACTGTATTAGGTATTTCTACTCGTCATGAACAAGTATGGAGGCTATGCATATTTGGCTCCAGAATCAAATGTGGCAGTGTATAAAATTTGCAAAATCAGTACACCATAGCAATACTAGAAAGGCGAAATGAAATTGAAAATCCCAAGTGTGTATATTGTATAAGAAGGAATTTGGGAAACATCATTTCTCTGCAGGTAAGAAATCTGTGTATAATTGATATTTATTTTGAAAACTTTTATATTTTTTCACGTAATAGTGAAAGAGGGGTAAAATAATTCATTTGTATTTTCTGCCATATAAGATGAAATTGTTTTCCATTTTGGAAACTTACGAATATTTTGGCTCTAAAAAATAAAATAAAATAATAACTGTTTAAAGCAAATATTTAAAAAAATAAACAAGTTAATAAATGATAGTACTCAGTAGCTTTTTTGCTAGTTTTTTTGGATGTACTGAGCAAATGCAAAAATGTTACTTTAATTATTTTAAGATTAGTTTCATTTCTCTTCTTTAATATTTTTTCATGGTAACTATATACTGTGTAACTGTTTCTGTATATTTAAATGTGTATGAGTTCTCTCTGTAAAATTCAGTTTACACTTTTCTGATTTCTTTTTTTTCGAAATTCACAAGTTTTGTGTCTGTTTGCTCGCAGAATATTTGTAGGGATGTCTTTTCAGTTTTAGAACTTGCTCATTCAGGATTTAAAGGCATGATTCCTAGAAAATGTGACAAAATGATTAATTCTTCTTGATGTTATCATTTAATGGGCGGATTTTGTGAGAAATTTGTGATGAATAATTTATTTTTTCGAGAACTTTTGGAAGAACGTTGAAAACAGAACTATTTGAATTTTCTACTTTTGATTCTGACAGTTGGTCTCTTAACATGTTTATATTCTCTTTACTTTCTCTTCATTACACACAAGTACGGAAAGTTGCAAAAATAGTTCTAATTTTATTACATGGACAGTTTTTTCTGCTAATAAAGTTATGTCAGTTTATAGTTGTCTCAGTGCCAACACAAGGTGTTTTTCCTCCTGGTACATCCGAGTTCCTATTCTAAATTCTAAAATTTTATCATCCCAGAATTTTCTTGTTTGCTGCTTTTCTAAATTCTAAAAATTCTCCTGCTGGCAGAAAAAAATAGTCTCTTTGATATATTCTAAATACATGTAGCATTTTAGAGTAACAGCTCTTTTAATTAAGTCTAAAAATTCTAAAATGAAGGAAAAAAGAAAATAATTACTTAAAAAGGAAGAGCATTGTTCTTCAAAGTCACATTGTTAGAACATTAACAAATTAGGAGATGAAGAAGAAACTGATAGGAACACTCAATTTATTTATAGAGACAAACTTTAAAAATGTGCTAAAAAGAAGGGAACTCTAAATTAGATAAAATATTTGGAAAATTTTCAGATTAAAAAAGCATGTAAATATTTTACTGCGTTGTCTTGCTACAGAATACATGTTTTGTATAGCTTTTAATGTATAAGTATCGTAATATCATTCTAGAATCAATCTCATAAATTATGTGTAATGGTCTATTATTGTGTCCATTACTTTTGAATTGAATATAGTTTTAGGATCCTGACCTTGAGTTTCATCACATACTGTGTAACGTAGGTTTCGGATGTTGCAAGGGAGGAGACAAAGCGTAATGTAAAACAAACAGAGCTTATCTGTTTAACTCGCCACAAAATATAAACGTTTGTGTTTCTGATATCCTTTTTAATCCTTTTTTGTTATTCTTTTCCTACGCACTAGACTGAAACCACGAATGAAAAACATCCTTTTCCGAGAGAAATAATTTTATTGGCATAGGCTTTATTTTGCAGAAATTGATGTTCTACATATATATGTTTATAAATAACAAAAAATAATATGCATATGTTTATAAAAAACAAATGCATTTCACTTTTTGATCATAATGCAAAGCAGAAAAATTTCAGTAACAATATTAAGCTATTGTCCTCGGATAGGATTCCGAAAATATTGTTCATTTTCTTCTGGTTCATTTACATCATATAATAATTTAGATTCATGGCCTAAAATTTTAAAATGATGGTTATTCATTTTTAGAGAGTGATTTTTACAAAATTCTTAAAACTTTTTTTTTTTTTTTTTTTCCAGTTTTAAAACTTCTACTCATTTTTAAAAACAAAGTAAGCATCTAAAAATAACCATGTAGGCAAAATGTAGGCACATACTCTTTGCACTTTTTTTTTTTTTTTTTCTGTTTAAGAACAAACGCATGTCAATGAATAAAACCGAGATATTTTACTAAATTTCAGGAATCATTATAGGAGCCCCAATCAGCTCTTAGGGATAAACTAAGAGGGGTCCATCCAATTTAATCATGAGAAAGTGATAAGTAACGGATCGGATTTAACATCTTCAAAAGTTACTGTGTTTTCCTAGAAATTTTGCTGTGTGTTGTGTAATTGGAAGTAATGCTTGAATTTGAGTTAATATAAATTGCATAATACAGAAAACCTAGAGAAAAAAAGCATGAATTAAAAAAAGTGTAAAAATATTCAGTGCTTCTTTTCTACAAAAAACTTGTACATTTTCTAACGAAGTGAACTCTACTGGAAACATTTCTGTTTAGGGAAAAAAAAAATAAGCAATCTTTCCTACTCATTTGTAAGTTTCTCGCTATTCTATAATTATAGCTATTTTAATAACAAATAAAAGAATAATAAATAAAATAGCTTTTCTTGCCATTAAGTGGTAAATTTGTTCAATTATTATTACCTGTGGTTATGAAATGTACTCAAAACATTGGTTTCATTTACAAAAATCTTAATTTTATTTAATTATAATATTCAGAAATATTATCTTGCAGATAGTTAATGCTTCCTGTAAAAGTGCAGAATAGGTTGCATCAACAAAGTTTAGTATGCGGAGCTGTGTGACGTCCATAAATGGGTGGGACTAAGCTTATGACGTCACGATGTAAGTCTCGCATTTACACTACGCCTACTCTCTATTTTCTCTTAAAAACAATAATAATAAATTGTTTATTTTTGTAAATGAATATCAAATTCTTTACTTTTAATTTACATTTATAACATTTAAGCTTAGGCGTTACTGATAATAAATATAATAAATTGTTTATATTTAAAATTACCATGATACAGTGAGCGAATTCTACCAATTATTAAAACAATAAACAACGTCGCAGTCTCTAATACTTGTAGAGCTTCAATATTTTCAGAGATTTTTATTAAAGCATTTATACAAATAAAAAAAAAATTGTTTAATTTAAATTCATATTGTGGAACATTTCAATTTTACCATTTTTACAAATTACCTTCTTGCTACGTAACGACATAATTCCTGACATACCAATAATTAGACAATTTTCATTATTTTCTAAAAATTTTAAACTATGTATTAATAAAAAAAGAAGAATATTTTTATTGCATATGAACATCATTACACAGCTTTCATATCAGTTACTAAAATTCCTAAATCGCGCCATATTCTGTGTAGGCATACTAGAATTCTACGCATTGATAAATAAAAAAATCTAATTTCTCAAAATGAAAGAAAATAATATAATAAAATAAATACTACAAACTTGGAAGCAATACTTCACATACGCAAACGTACACATATTATCAATGAGCTCATAATATCAAGTGGAATTACGATACCAAACACTACGTATTAAAATATGAGGTAAAACGTTATTTAAAGGGTTAAAGTTTACAGTTTTGCCATTGTTGAGTAGATCGTCGGGCTATCGATATATGTCGTAAGTTGGAAAGCGTTAAAAACATATCAAAGCCAAAAAATTAAAAATACAATTTAAATGAAAAATAACGTCTTAAATATAATTCACAATTAAAACAACAATACAAATTTAAAATACACTAACGATATGTTAAACATTGCACATAATAAAGTTACATTACTGCTCGGCATCACACACAACCTCGTTTTCTCTTCTACACAATGATCAGTATTCACTCGAAAAACATCAAAGAATTCCAGAAACTCGATGTCCATGTGTTCATTCATCTATTTTCACTTAAAGAAAAATCAGAGAATTGCTCAAACTCGGCATTGCGCACCACATTGGCTTTCCCATGTTGATGCTAAAGTAAAGTTTAAAGAAATTTAACATTTAGCAGTAGTAGCAATAAAAGCTCCCTGAGATATCATGTTGTGCAGACATTGAAGACAATAAAAGATTTTGAACTTAACCAATTTATTAACAATAAAATAAAAATAAAACACAAATAAATTTCAACAATATCAGAGTCTTAGGAAAAATATAATATAACCATCATTCATCAAATAATATTTTTACCTGGTCTCCAAAACACTGGCATTCAATACAAACAAAAATGTCCTAAACATTAATTATGCGGCCTAAAAATGAAGTTGGCTACACATTCAAAACGTCCGTGATCGATGGTCGAGAAAAACACCTGAAATTTAAATCAAGTTCTTGAAAACACTTAAAACCGGCCTAACTCCGTTTGCACGAGGAATCGCCGCTCACGTGTTTTAAATGCCGCCTTCATTGAAGAACATGGATGCCGCCCACAGCAGTCACTCATATGGTAGCCTCTGGAACCAAGGAACTTTATTCTGGAACAACCATCTTATGGATATGAACCAAGGAACTCATTCCGAAACAATCATCCCGCGGACAGGCACCAAGGAACTTGCTATTTATGGCAACCCTAAATTTGCTTTGCGGGGAAGCCATCTTACCGTGCCTGTACATTTCGTAACACTGCCCCCTCCTAAGGACTGCACGTCTCAGGCAGTACAACTCTGGGTAAGAAGCCAAATTCAATACAATCAAATCGCTTTAAAAACATACAGATAACATGACTAAAGAAACAAATATTTACACTATGTACAAGTAATATACACAAATTAAACACATAACAGTTTTAAATTATACAAAGTTCAGAATGGATCTCATTCTTTTCATTATTTATACCTGGGTAAAATACTTTTCCACTGCAGTTCTCAGATGCATTTCTGTGTTGCATATAACAGTGTGAAGAGTCAGTTCTTTCAGGCTTTTCATCCACAGAAAAATCTAAAACAGTTTGTACACCACTCTGTAGTTTATTCCCATCATGTGTACAATTCTTCTCAGTAACTTTAGCAGTTAGTACTTACTTATTTACTTCTATTTCCTGAAAGCCAGTTCCGATGTTTGCACGAGGATCGTGAATAGAATCCGATCCCTTTATAAGCAGAAGTATCCAGGTTTAGAATCAAGTCCTTGTCTACAAAATCTGCACTATGAGACGCACACCCAGTTTGCGAAGTGGGTGAATTTTCTTGCAGTACTGGAGCGCACTGCTTTAGCTGCACATCAGCTTCTCCCATCTCTGCATCACATGCACTTTCAGATGGTTCAACACCTGCTGCCTGCGACTTTGTAACTTCACTATCAGTTTTGACGAACTTCACTGTCAGTTTTGACGTTAACAGTCACATTTTCATTTTCTTCCTCTTTAGGTACTTGAGAATCAAAAGCTTCTTTGCTGTCTTTTATTTCTTCATGTTTTAGTTCTTTTTCTTTAATCCCGTTAGATGTTCATCCTTCATTTCTTGATCTTTCTCAGGCAATTCATTAGCTACTTCCTTCTTTTCTTCATCCTTTGATTCTTCAGATGCCACTTCTCTTATTTCCACATCATCTTTTATGCCTCCAGTTTCTTCTGTAAGCTCCAATTTCAGCTGTTGGAGTTGCTCTCGCAAATTTTCTTGGCCGCCATTTATCTCTTCTCATCGCCCTTTCTTCTCTTCTAGTCAGGCCTTTAATCTCTTTATATCCAGTTTATATCTCTTTATATCTAGCTTTTATCTCAGCATATTCGGCTTTCAACTTCTCGCTGTCTGGCTTTCATCTTTTCTTGGAATTCAGCAAAGGCAGTTGCGAGCTGTCTTAATAGATCTTCTGTTGGTCTTGTCACTGGCATTCACCCTCAAACCCCACTCCTGACACCAGTTGTTACGTTATTTTCTTCCTTCACGTTCGTATGGGGTTCATGTCGATTTGGTGTGAATAACGACGACACTTGGTGAAGTATTGAAACACAATTTATTTACCATTATTAATCAGGACAGTTCCGAAATATGTTTTTACAGTCGTCCATGAACTACTATAAACACGCTGACACGATCAGCGTCACAGCCTCCAGGTTATCAGGCTATCATGGTGGAGACAGCTTCATGGCAAAGCACTAGAGTACAGCTCCCGACTGCTTCGTCGTTCTCGGAACTCCGCGTACTCTCGAGACTCTCCACGCTACAACTCACGATGCACTCGATGACACACAGAGCACAGCTCCGGACATTTGGGTTCAGTCGTTCCCAGAGCTCAACACGCTCTCTCGATGATGCACTACAGAAATACCGAGATACTACCGCAGGGATTGACTCACGAGACACCAATGCGATACTAACTATCTCGCACACTATACGAGGCACTCACTTTCGCCCTTTCAAAGAGGAACACTAACTATCTCGCACTCTAGACGAGGCACGCACTAGCTGCGGATCAGCAAGGTTTATATAGCTTTTGGCTTGCATTCCAGAACATTCTGGGCTAAACTGGTAAGAATTCGTTCCAGAAGGTTCTCTATCTGTCCATGGCATATCGCCAAGTTTATCGCCAAATGGGCTATTTACTGCCAAATGTGGCAACCCTGCTGTCTCTTGCCATTTTATGGCAACCCTAAAACTGCTTTGCGGGGAAGCTATCCCACTGCACCTGTACATTTCTTAAAAACATGTTTGTAATGTAATAATTAAAAATACAATATTTAAATGCAGTTATCCATAATTATGTTACATAATTTTAGTATTGATAAAATTTATACAACAATTCTTATATTAAGATAGTTATCATTAGGATAATATATTCATCATGTAGTAATTATCTATGTACTTGAAAATATTGTAATAGGTAAAAGAATAGTATAGCTATTGGAGTGGTAGTGTCCACCCCAGCCGTATTTTGAGATGGCTGCACCCATGCAGTATCATTTACAAAATCTGCTTCTTGTATATGGAAGGAAATTTCTGATATATTTCTCTTATTCAATATATTTAACACATCTGAATCATGTTAGTCTGTGATGTGAATATAAAGGTTACCATGCACTTTTGAGTTCAGTTATACTAAAAAATTTTTTAGACATCACTATATGGACATTTCCTTATGCTGACGTGTGTTAATTGTCGTGTGGTTATGAAAGCAAAAAATAATGAATAATGATGGCTCAGCTTGGCATCAGTGCCAGTGTGAAATTAGGAATTACTCACATGTTTTATTATGAAAAAATACCAAATCAGAAGAAAAACAAATTCTTAAAAAAAAAAAAAAAAAAAAAAAAAAAAAAAAGGCGGGAGCAGAAAACTGTTAATTATCCAGAAATTTGGATTTTGGATCATTCCGGGTATAGGATGTGTAGATTTTGAACTGTGTAGAGTATGCTCAACAGCACTAAAATATTTAGTGTAATCTGCAAGATGAGGTAACTGTAAAAGTACAATTGACTCATTGTTAATTATGAATTTCATTATTTTTGTAAGAACTTAGCTGATATTAAATTACTACTTATAAAATGAAGGTACATATAAATTATTTTATCTTGTCGATTAATATTTAAAAAAGATCTATACTTTAATTGACAAGATAAAATTTCTTTTAAAAAGATAAAAAAAAAATTTCTAAGTAATTATGTAACTTTTTACCCCTTGTTATGTGCAGAAATTGATTTTGCTGTAAATTAAGAACAAATCCTGAAGTACAATGAAATAAAAACTATTTTACAAGTATATTTACATGCAGAATTATAAATCCAAATGCAAACATGTGTAACAAAGAAATATAATATAGGATTTAGAATATAATATAGTAATATAATAAAAATTAATATAGAAATATAATATAGGACATGTTAGATGAGAAGCTTGACTAATTACAGACTTAAAAGCAGGGCTGTAGAGTCGTAATTGGGCAGATTTTGGGATAAAAGGAGTCGGAGCTGGAGTCGTTAAAAACAGGTCAACTCCAGTTTTCGTTGAACAGTTTGAATTTGAAATAAAATTAAAAAGAATTGAAAAAAAATAATGGCAAGCTGAGTTATTATTTTTATTTATGAATTCTTTACATTAATAAATAGTTATTTTCTATTTTATTGACCTATTAATAAATAAATATAAGGGAGGAGGATGGATGTGATATTTGCCATTAGTGATTAAACTGATTCATTTAGTTACAAATCTCATTGGTAAATTTAGGTGAGCAGCAATAGCAGCAAGAACTCCTAAAATTGATGCCATTCTTAGAAAGCGAGCAGGAAAAGGAGCAATTATTGATCAAGCAATGCGATAAGGAACTACATAAATTATGATAAAGAGGTTTTTAGGAGATGTAGATAACCCTAATGTTTCACTAACAGAAAGACTGTGAAATGATCTTGCAGAATTAGAAACTCTTCTTTCTATACCGTATATAGCCACAAAAAAGCTGCAATCTGAAGAATTGACAGGAGGTGAGAATGGGATGTTTGTTCTTTCTGAAATGAAGGGTTATTGCAGAAGGAATCATTTCTTCAATGAAGAAAAGAGAAACTAGTTTGCTAGATAATGAGATCTGGTTGGGTTAAATATATGGAGATCCGAAACTAGTTTGCTAGACAATGAGATCTCGCTGGGTTCAATATGGAGATCCGAAACACTGAAATTTCTTGGATGATGAGCAAATTAAAAAGGCAAAGTCATCTATGAACTTTCATTAAGAATGAAATTATTCTCAGAACAATTGGAGAATTCAAATCAGGACAGTCAAACTGCAGACATTGCAATTGAGTCTCTATCATCCTTTTCCATTGATGAATTAGATTTTGAGAAATATTTTTGGATAATATTGAAAAGTCTAAGGCAAAACGAATGAAAATAAAAAACAAGAGCCTTTAGATATAAAAATGAAAAAATACAAACAAAATTTCTACAAGGCCTTTGAAGAAATATAGAAATGTTATTGCTCTTGCAAGACCCCTCTTTTAGAACTTATAAAAATCTATCCTGAAAAGTTAAAAGTAGTAGCCCTAACAGTAATAGCTCTTCCTCCTACTCAAGTTAGTGTGTAAAGACTTTTCTCAGCTCTGAAGTTTATCAAAAACGGATCTATGGCCCTCCAATAAAGAAAATTTTGCCGAAGCTATACTGTTTCTTAGAAATAACTAATGCCAGTTTTTCCATTTCGTAATAAATGCTAATTAATATAAATAATTTGATATGCCATCAATTTTTTTTTTCTGTAGCATCTATTACTTTTTTGTATTAAAAAAATAAGCTGTAACCCATGTGTATATGTTTACATTTATATATATATACACGGGAGTCGGAGTCATTAAAATTCCAGGAGTCTGAGTTGGTCATTTTCCAACTCAGACTCCTGCTTAAAAGTTATTAGTGGTGTTGTGTTTCTGTCACACTTAGAAACGTGGCAAAATATTCATCATAGTAAGATTTTCTCTGCTACAATGGGAACTAACATTCTAACTTGTAGAGAGAAAAATGAAGCTAGTGTGAAGCTAAAAATAGTGTTCCTTATTCTTGGTTTTAATAACATGCTGAAAAAGTCTGAGGAGATAACCTTTCAATATCATTGATGGCTATATGTTAAGATATAAGTTAATTAGGTTAAATATAAGGTATTTAAGTATTAATGCAACCAGTCTGGGGCAATCTTCCGATTGTTTTACAAATCAAAAGATAAAAGTCACTTATCGGGTGCACGTTAGTCATTTTCAGAAATTTTTTACAAAAGTACCAAAAATAATGCTATCTGATATGTATATTTCATTTTACATTATAAATCATATTTAAATAAGTAATAGGATGGGGTATATGAGTTTAGGTAAATCAGTCTAATTTGATTTTAAATGAATTACACAATTTTTTTTTTTAAATTTCATTTAATTAAATGAAACTCTAGAGTTATTCAAAATGTTATTCATCAGTCCTTTTTAAATGTTCTGTTTCAGCTTCTTTTTCTTGTTCTATTTATTTTTTATCTATTTAGAAATCTGTATTCTTAATTTCCACCCAAATTCCACTTATTATTTAGGTAAATATCCATAAAGTGCATAATTTCATACTTTCTAGTGAACCTTAATAAAGTTTTATTACAATTTTGTGTTTCTGGCAAGTTTAATTCAGAATTCTATTGTGTTGTGTTCCAGGTTAAAAAAATTAATTAAAAATATGTCTACACCAATTTGGATAATTTCTTGACTTTGTTTGTTTTACGTTGTGTTCAATTTTAAAAATTCAATTAAAACGTTAAAAGTAAGTTTATTTTGTAATTCCAGATATTTTCTTATTTGTATTTACAGTTTGAAAGAAATGGCATTGTGGTGATTAGTATAAAAGCGTAGTTCAGCTAAAGTTTCACAAGAACAAAAGTCATGCAGTGTGAAACATTTGAAGATTATATATGAGAATCTCCTTGCAAAAGCAGCATTTTTTAATACGCTCCTTAGATAATTCACGCATGCATGCAAATTATTTATTCCATGTAACATTTTCATGAGAGTAAATAAGCACATGTATTGCTAAATGACCTTTGAATTTAAATGAACTGCTATATTTAGCAGATGTTTATAATTTATCACCAGTGTGGGTAAAAATGTGTTTGATTCTAACACACATTTAACTGTAAATATGTAGTTACAAATATCACATTCATGTCATTTTTCATTGTTATTGGATAAGTATTTGTCTCTTTAATGCACTTGTTTGTGCGGATGATTTACAAACATTGCATTAATGTAGTTTGTCTGCAGTGTGTGTAAACAATTTTATTTTAATGATGCCTGCATGCAAATAATTTATCACATATAACTTGTTCGTGTGTGATTAAGATGTATATTTAAATATGACTTTTGAGTAGAAATGGCATGAGCACACTGATGTTGTGTCTTACTTGTGTGGAAAGCAATATGTGGCTTTAACACACTTGCATGTGCAAATAATTTACTATATATACCAATCTTATGATTTCTTATCTCATTTCTTATGCATGTCTTTCTGGAGTGCATTCCAATGAAACTGGCATTTATGTATATAAGTAAAGTTCAGATTTATTGCATAAAAATGCAAACCTGAAAAAACAACTTTACTATCCAAATAAAAATTAGGACCACATTGTTTAGAATTTGAAGATTTGGTAGAAAAATGTTCATAAAAAAATTATTTTGGAATTTTTTTTGATAAACTTATTCCTATTTATCTCAAATCCACAACCAAAACAAACAAAAATTAAATAACCTTAGTAAATATCAGTGTGTTGAAATATAAAAAATTGACTGTGTTTTTGGAATGTGAGGCATCCAGTTTATACACTTGGTATTTGAAGAAGTCATCCAGCTGTATTCAAGCATTTTGCATTGAATGATCAATATAAGTGTTCTTTTAATTAACTTGTAAATTGGAATTTTTAAGACTGAGCATTGATGATTATTTTCAAACATCACTTATCTCTAGTATTTTGTGATTTGTTTTAATTTAAAAATGTTTTCTTCTATTACATACACTTTTTTTTTTTTTTTTCTGTTGCTGTGAAAAGTAAAACATATCATTAGAAAAGACATTTTGTCTTTATAGGATAATTTGTGAATCCTTTTTTCAAATCTTCATAGCTCTCTACTGGATGGGTAATTTTTGACATGAATTAAACATAGGCCTTTTCACTCATACTGACGGTTCTCTCTTTTGTATTTAATACAAATAACTTCAAATGTATATCTTTTCTTTCTAATAGGAGCTTAAAATATGCCCCGTTAAACAAATAACTTGCATTTCTCACATGTAATTTTTTTTTATGTGAAGGGGAGGTCCAAATTGAAATACAGATCACCTAGGTAGTGACCAGGTTACATAAAGCTATACTGTATTTACTTGCATGTTCTCCCCCCCTCCCCAGGTTTTATTTTTTCAGAATATGATTTAAAGACTTCTGATTGATAGTAACAATGTAAAATGACATAAAAGACTCGTGTTCAAAAAAAATAAGCAACAGACTCCAAAAGAAAAGGTACGAATGTAAAGAGGGAAATTAAAATATACAGTTCACACATGAGGTAAACATTGCATCACAGGAGGCAAATAGAACAACCAAAATTAGCATAAAACGCAATTCTGGGGTCATACCAAAATTACTAAAAAAGAGGAGGTATTCTGGACCTATGCGTCAGCTTGCAAGCGGTGATACCATTACCATTATCTTAGCTGCATGTCCAGCTTCAGCCTTGCGGCTTTAATGTGATCATCTTGAAAAATTGAGTCGCAGGTACTTTGGATAAAAAGGACGAAGCACAGAGCCACCTAAAAGCCGAAGATTAATCATAAAAAATCATTATGAGATGATAAGTAGTCATTGCTTAAATTTAAAATTGCAGTTGAGAATGATATATAAAATCTCCGATAGTAAGACTTTGCATTATTTACAAAAACATAAGGCAGAAATAAAAGAATCTTGGATAGTTAGTTGTACAAATAAGCTTGTTTAAATATGCATAAATAAAAATATGATACAAATCAGAGAAAAAGTGGGACCTCAAACTCTGGATCTGACAATTCGGAGGTGAGAACTTAATGTGCTGTGCTAAGAGAGTGTGGAGGAAAATTGAAAATTCAGGGTAGTCATTCGGACTTTAGGTTCAGTTACAATGTACAGTGAGAGGTCGTTTCTACCTCTGCATATCTGTGTGGTCGTAATTTAACCCCTTCGAGCCGGGTAGCGAAAACGCACGCTTATCGCGGAGGCCGGCAGTGTCTTCCGCGAGCGTCTCTCCAGGGCCGGGGTTTTTTTGCTACTAAACCTAAATCCATGAAATTTCCGAAGTATCAACGCATTGTTTAATAATGCTCTATAGAGTATTTAAACAGCTTATGCTTTATAGATATTTTTATATATATACTTTAATTACCTTATTTCTTATTTAAATGCATATTTTACACATTTTATTTTAATTACTCACCATTTTATGACTTTTAACATTATACATCTGAAAACTAAATATATTACTTAAAATTCTCTTTTCGTATGAAAAATTTTAAAACAGGGATATACACACAGTCCTACGTTACATTCCTTGAACTCGTAATAACTCATTTGCCGTTTTGGAGGATTTTTCTGGGAATGTGAACAAACGAAGCATCGTCGTCTCATTTTCTTATCAGTCTCTTCTGAACAAAGTTTTGGAAAATGTCTTTCAGTTAATCCTTCAGAATCAATATCAGAATATCAGAATCAATATCTGAAATATTTTGCATCATTTCTGCTATTTCATGCTCTGTTAAACATTTTCGACGCTTTGACATTGAAATGGTAAAAACAGAAAGAATTCACGTCTAACAAGATCTAATTATTTTCTAAAAACTGAACTGTAAACCGAAATACTCAACGCTTTAGCACATATAAAACTTCTACTTACAATAAACAACTACCACGTGCGAATAAAGTGCGATCTAAAGAGACGTCATAAATCACGCCATTCGGAAACATTTAGTTCCCCGTTTGTTTATATAATCAAAAACACGTGTATGTGAGTCATGCTTCTCTCATTTCGAGTATAAAGTCTAATGTACATGTATCTGAAACCATATGGGCATACAGTGCCATCTTGTGGCAGAAATTATAGTTTGAAAAACGTTCCAAGGTACTGGCACAAATACGTGACAGTCGGTAGAGAATGCAACAATGCTCTGGCACGCCTGCGTGTCGGCCGGTAGATAAGTGTGTTCGTTGCTGGCACGTATACATGACAGTCGGCGCGAAGGGGTTAAAATCTCCAAAATTTCAGCTAAGTTAGACGTTTGCGAGACAATTTTTTAAAAGTCTAAAGCTCGTCTTCAGTGGGGGTGAGTTTGATGTCAGCATGGATGACACTGTGTTGTAGAAACTATATGGGGCGTGAAAGATGATGTGGAGAAACTTATTATATTGTAACTTCGTTTGGTTTTGGTTTGGACTCCCAACTCTTTCTGGGGCTGCATACAGAATGACGGTCCATCACACTTAGAGAAACAACACTTTTTATTTTCAATGCTTAGGTGAGAGTTTATTTTTAGCAGAGGCTATACTGCCATGAAAGCTGTGATGTGCTTTGATTCAGATGTTATTTACATGCTCGTCGAATTTTAATTTATTGTCTAGATACACTCCCAGATATTTTACTGAATTGTAGAGCGGGACTTTGATATTTTCGATTTGTAAATTGTAGCGTTTTTTCATATGAAAAAGAATTGCAACAGATTCAGGAAGGCTGATTTTAATGCACCAGTTATCAATCTCATTATGTTTATTCTCAATAATATGAAAAGCAATGTCTGGCCTGCATGACCTGCACCATTAATAAAAATATTAAAGAGAGAAGTTGAAAGAACAAAGCTTTGTGAAACATTAGCTTGAATTGACTAGAAAGAGTTCCTGAATATACTAATGAGTTTTCTATTTTGGAGGGAACTATTGATGATTTTCATGAGGTGAGTAAGAAAATTATAATTTATCATTTTGTGGATAATTACAGGATGCCATACTTTTACAGAGGCCTTTTTCAATGTCAAGGAAGCAGCCAGCGACACATTCGTTATTATTAAAACTTATACTGATGTGTTCGATAATGCAAAGCATTTGATGAGTAGTAGAATGTCTTTCATGGAATCCAAATTAGGTAGGAGAAATGGTAGAGTTAGTATTTATCAACTTTTGAAGTCTGGTAAAGATGATAGATAAGCAAGGAGATAGTTCTGCGTAATTCGAGATGCATGTTCCTAACATATACTCACATTACCCCTGTGGAGAAAGTGCTGAATCGCTATTGGCTGAATGACTGGTACGTAATAGCATTACTTGTTTGGTCACATTACAAGACAATTGCATGTGAGATGAAAATATATTGTAAATGTTAATTTATTTGTTGCAGAATAAAATGAAATAAATTTTATATCTATATACAATTCCAAACTAATAATAAACCATTAAAATATATAGCTGGCAAAGAATGTAGAACGCGGAGCTCTTCAGACATAAACACTTGAAGTATTTTATTTCGACAACTGATGTTTGCTAGGAAGAAAAATTTCGTTGAACATAATTTATAATGATATACAGGAAATTTCATTACCAGAACATAAGTATTTATAATTGGACTTCAGAATACTGCCGAATGTTTCTCATAAAATATCAGAAATGGTGAAATCACAGAGGAGATTTTATTCAGTTTTTTGAGAGTGGGAGTTTTAGATGAAGAGATGTTTTTTATTTACTTTGTTTTTTATTTACTTTTGTCAGAAGAAGGGGTTAATGTTTTAATATTTCATTGGTATGTCTATATTTTCTGAAATTATAAAATGCAATAGTGTTAACATTTATATCAATAACTGAAATTCTGAAAAAGAATATTGTTTTTTATTGTTTGAAAATATAAAGCAACTTGTAATGATGTCTATCTTTTGAAAAGGTATGTGAAAACAAACTGGAACATTATTTTGTGACCCGTAAAGTATCGAAAACTAATGAATGTTTGTTTTGGATGTGGGCATTCATTCGGCTGCATGCTAAGTTATGCAAATAACAGGAAAAATATAAAGCATCCAAAAACTTGGAAATGATTATTATAATATTTTTAGACAAAGTTGACATGATAAATTAATAATTTCAATTATTGTTTAATTTACGTTAAATAGTTATTGAATAATAATACATCTGCATGGAAGAATTTATATTATATATTAACATTTATCTAAGAGATTTTAGAAAAGATTCTTTACATAGTTCAAAGTTCATAACACACTAGAATTTTACTGTATAAAAATATAAATGCAGTATTTATTAGCTTTAATATATGATAGATAATTCTTAAAAATTTAAAAACATAGTGCGTTGACCACTCATTCATTGCATAATTTTTATTTATACTTTCCCCACATACCAGTAGATTGAAACTTAAAATAATGTGGCTTATGACTACAAAATAGCTGATTATCCTGACATAAACATAGCAATATATCCAAAGCAAAAATAATTCTTTTTATGTGAAATATGTACATGACACTTTACATAATTTTATTTTATATTTCCCCCCACACCGACAGATTGCAATTAAAAAAGAACATGCTTACAATTACAAAATAGCTATACACTCCTGATGTAAACATTAACAATACATACAAATCTAAAATAATTATATATATGCATGAAACTTTGTTAACCTCAATATGCTACTTATAAATACCAGACTGTCTTGGATCAAGTTAATAAGTAGTTTAACAGATGGAAAATTTAGCTTCACAGTATGTTAAGCAACTGCTGTTTTTCACCATCATAGTAGTAGGAATAGTTAATGACATAGTAGTAGGAATAGTTGAAGACATAGTTAATGACATCATGTATATAGGTTACAATAAGGTGAAGATCTGAATCCAAGATATGAATCTTCCAAACCCTTTGAAATAATGCCTATTTCTAATATAAAAAGAGGTAAAATTCTGAGAAAAAAATCTAAATGCGTGTTATAGAAAAAATAATAATAAACACCAAGCAGCAACAATAGTTTTCAGGAAATGACAAATAAAGTGAAAGAAAAAAGTATTAATTAGGAAATATGCAAAATGACATGAAAATATATGTGTGTTACAAAAATGCATATAAAACCTAACAAGTTAGGTAAACTGTTTCATCAAAGAATAGAAATTTCTATTAATGATTTACTACAAATGAATTGATAGTATTTATGTGTACATTTGAGAAGTGTGTTCAAAACATTCATTCAGCACACGTTTTAGTGATATCAACACTTAATGCATGTACCATATGACTATTAATATACACAGTGTAAGAATTACACTGCAGAATGAAGTGGATGTATTTGAACAGCAAAGAGACTTTTATTTAGATCAAATATTAAAAGAAAACTACAAATTGGAGAAAATGCAATTAGCATTATCTACAGTCATTTCAATTTTTTTCCAGTTAGCATTACTATCTGTTGTAATGATTATACACCAACAGAACATTGTAGAATATAGCAGATATCAAAGCCATATTTAATACACAAATAACTTTTAATACATGGGTAAATTGTACAGGAGTAAATAAACCAGTTATAGTACATGGTTTAAAAAATCTCAAGGCTCGTTACCACTGGGGTTTATCTGAGATAACAGAGAACGTAATGGCAGACCACACATTGAGTTGAAGAGTGTTAAGCGAATTTTGCTTACTGTGCATGCTTGATGGTGTACCTTTGGCGCGGGGAGAAATATTGGCGACTAAGCAACCCTACGCTAGCTTATTCGTGATATCCATGGCTGCCGAGTGATGTTTACAATTACAGTGTTGTGGAACTTTATTAGCTATTTTAACGTTATTACCGATTGCACTTGCTTATTTTTCTAATATATGTTTCATTTTAATTTGTGAATAACAGTGCATTTAATATTTGTTAGCATACGTTGTGCATAATAATTCGTTATTTAGATGTAATTTGTTTACATCTTATAATTCAGTAATGTAAACTGGATTTTTCCCGCTTAGTTTGTTAACGTATATTCGCGCTTTTATTTCTTATTTAAAAGAATTAAATAAACAGCATTAAGGAATTGTAAAATTTCTTCAATGTTATTTACAAACACTTGCTATATTTCTCCATGTTTCTTTACGTATGTAGAATAGTACTTATGGTAAATCCTGAATTGTTTTTATCCCTTAAAAGTATAATGAATAAATTTTCAACTAATATATCCTAAATTTCAGTCTTATTCTGAACAAAAATTCGTACAGTTCCAAAGGAAAGTGCAGAATTTCATGAGTCATCTTACATTTTGAACG